TGAGGTTGTCTACCTTCATGCTCGAATGATTGACATCGAAGGAATCTTTCAAGCCCTCGATGAGTACCTGACTGGTGGACAAACGTTGATTGGTGCAGCACAGGAGTTGGCAGACAATGGTGAACCATTGGTTGAACACCAGGATAAGCCAATGGCAGAACCTTTCGGCCCAGACGATCACCGTTGGGTATTGGCGGTGACGTTGGGTTCCCATATAATAGAATGTTGGTTTGTAAACGAAAAAAAAAGTACATATGTGCAAATATACATATATAAAATTTATGTAGATATTTCAAGATCACGTTCTGGCATTGGCTGTGACATTTGATCTGTGTAGCGCAAAGGGTGCCAGATCATCACCCTGTTGAGGGGGAGGGGAAGGTCTAAATGAAATCTGTCATTTGTGGATGCCCCCCACCTATACATATACAATCAAAATCACCCCCTCCATAGACAAGAGGCTAGAATTTATGGATATCATAGTATACGGATATCATCTGAATATACATATATAAATAGGATAGTATATGTAAATGTATAAGACTTCAAAAGTATGTCGAAGGCGTATGTTCAGATTAGATTGAAAACAATGGCGCCCTGCATGAACAGCCAACGCGGAAACAAACCCAAAACCCAAACACTGCAAATTGAAATGGAAGCAGAAGCAAACCATAACATGAACAAATTGCGAAGGAACATGAGACACGCTCTCACCTCTTAATTCTTGACTATCACGCAAACTCATCACACGAACACAAAGAAATGGATAGTGAATTGCATTTTCCCATTTATTTTGAAATGTTTTTGTCCAATTCAAAATGTTGCATCTGTGCTGGATATACGCAAAATACCTCAAATATGATTCCGCTCAAATAATTGATTATGCAATTTCCTGAACAAGTAACAAGCTAGCCTTAGTTGGCAAAAATCAGCAAAGACGTTGTCACAAGACAAATTGGCACAAGACCCTGCTTTCCTTGACATAAACCCTGAACCTTAATCCGCGCGCCCCGCGCGCATACAAACCCTAAACCCTAATCCGCGCGCCCCGCGCGCCTTCAAACCCTAAACCCTAATCCGCGCGCCCAACCTTGACACCTACTGAAACCTTGCTAACCGTAGAGCCAACATCTAAAGCTCAGTAGGCCGGGTCTTTTAATTTTATGACATAAACCCTAATCCGCGCTAATCTGCGCGCGCCCTGCGCGCCTAGAGCTGTAAACCCTAGACCCTATAGAAACTTATAAACTTATAAACCTTAAACCCTAATCCGCGCGCCTACAAACCCTAAAGCCTGAACACTCATCCGCGCGCCCACCCTTGACACCTATTGAAACCTTGCTAACCGTAGAGCCAACAACTGACCAACGTTTCCAACATGTGTTGTACCACACGTCCAGGCATCACCGCCATATAAATGAAACTGCACTGCGTTGAAAACACCTGAATGTCCATGCTGTTGTACCACAAGCCAACGCATAAACCATGATGTCAAACTTCTGCACGCTGTCCCCAGGCTCTTGTATTGGAAATTGCCAGAGCCGCCCTGAATGTGGTTAAGGAGGTTGGTGTGGCCAGAACCGCACTGAATAAGGTTACCCATGTTGAGATTCCCAGGATTGCACTGAATGAAATCATTCACATTGAAACTGCCAAAATTGCCATGAATGAAATCACCAATTTTGAAATTGCCAGAATTGCTCTGAATAAGGTTGCGCCTGTCGAATTTGCCAGCACCGCACTGAAAATGGTCAAAACTCTGATAAAGATTGCCAGCATGTCGAGATTGCCAGCATCGCTCTGATAAAGGTCGTGGAATGTTTGTGGCATGAAAACCATCTCACTGCAAAAATTGTCCATGCATGCACCATTGTCGAACTTGCCAGAATTGCTAGAAAAGTGGCCAACCAGAGGAAAAACATCGTGGAAAACCCTTCAAATTGTCGCCAGCTTCTGGGCTGCAACACTGCTGTTGCATCTTGCACCTGGAGTCACCACTGCAGTCACCACCAACGCTCATAGTCCTGAGCATCAGCTGCTGCACCACCGTCGCATTGGGCTCATCGAAGTTGCTGGGGATTCTGTTGCTATTGTAAAGTGCCATGCCAGAGTTGTACGTAGCCAATCCAGCAATGCTTGGCACCCTCCATGGATGCACATCCCAGTGATGCATCTTCACATTGCACAGGGATCTCGGATTTCTGTCTCCACCTAGCTGCATGTCCTGCTGTGGCCCATTGGCGCCTACCACAGCTAGTGCCACCAGCAGCCAGGTCATCCCAAAGAATCCCAGCATCATTTGGCAGGCTCCCGCTGCCGAGAAAACGCGGAAGTGCACCCAAGCGCCTGTTTTACCGCGGTATCTCTTTGCGCCACTGTTTGGGCACAGCATGCAATTGTTCAGACTGTGCGTGTCATCCTTTGGCCATGCCAATCTTTTCTGTATCACCTCAATCCACCTGGAGCCTACCGCATGCATGTGAGTCCAGTGGAGTAAATTTGACAAGGATGTATGGAGTGAACGGCCTGTGCAGGGCATCGACTTTTACGTCGGCCACCTCATCCGCTCGAGCGGAACCATTTGCAGTTGCAAGGCTGATGGGGGTATCACTGGTGCGACGATTGGTGGCTTTTGCCGTCTTCAGCATGCTTTCGCTGATGAGATCTTGTTCACTACCAGTATCAACCATCCAAAGGAATTTGCAACTGTTGGCAAATGAGTATTGCTGGTCTTGTTCTTTGGGCCGATCAATGATCTAAAATGATTGCATGTTGTGCCACCTTCTTCATCATTGCATCTGTTTCTCTTCCAACTTTTCCTGCGGGGTCTTATTGTCAAAAACATTCAAAAACTCCATTGAACCAAGTCCAAGCCTCGTCGGGTTTGTCTGAGCACGACTTCACCTCATCCCTGACATGGTTATGCCAATGGCGGTAAGCCTCACGGGCAGGCATGTCATTCAGCTTGATGGTCTCTGCGTCTTTTGTGCGGGGCTGTTCACCGTCTGCATCTTTGATGTCAGCCTAGTGATGAGATCCAAAAGCTGTTGTCCAGAAAGGCCAGCACCTAGGTCTGCAGTCTTGAGTTTGTCGGCTTCACTAGCTGCAATGGTCGGGCTACGCACACTAGGTTCTTGATTTGCGTTTTCATGTGGCGGTCTCTGCACTGGCAATGGTGGAAGTTGTGGAGGCGCATGTGATCCTGCCGGGGTAGTGGTGAACAAACTATGCAACTTTTCCCTTGCATCGGCAGCTAGATTGCTCATTGCTGTGTTTGGCATGGGTGTTGCTCCAGCCTTCGCGCTTGCAGACCCTTTTGGCGTTGCAAACATCTCAAGCTGGATTTCGCCTGGACCTTCATCAAGTTCTTCGATCTTGAGGTTCGGGGCGTTCTGCTTGTTCAACCTTTCCATGAATTCGCCTACCCGTTCCTGGAGTTGAACGTTGAGTTCAGCGGCTTGTTCTTCTTGCCTGTTGCGCTCCTCTCTCATCTCCTTGATCACTGTTTGTTCCTCATTCTTGAAGTCCTCCATTCCTTTTCTTGCATACTCAGCCGTTTCATCTACGATCTTCTTGCAATCAGCCTCTAGGTTTGTCTTGACTTCAGAATACCTGCTTTCGTATTGACTGGTCATGTGAGAAACCTTTTGATTTGCTCTTTGCTTGGCTTCCAGTGCTACAGTGTTCTTCAGTCTAGCGTTTGCTTCACTGACATCTCTCCTCAAGTTTTAAATCTCCTGTTCTACTACGGTGCGAGACACCATAAATCCGGTGAGTTCCGATACCATCTGTTCATGTCGGCTGTCACCTTCTGCACGTTGCTGGGCGCGTTCATGCAAACATGTCTGCTCAACATTTCGACTACGATTTTCATAATCTTGTTGCAAATGCTGTACCACTTGATTCATGATCTGGGTGTGATTTTCATCAGCTTCACTTTTAAACAAATCAAAGTTTGCCTCATTGATGTATGTGAGTCGGTTGTTTGTTCTGCACAAACTGGAAATACGCCTGAACTGGCTGTTGAAAGATTCCTTCATCTACAGTCATAGGCGTGGGGTTCGCTCCAGCCGGGTTTGTTGCCGGAGCTCCAGTTGCGGGAACCATCGACCCTGTTGCTGGGACAATTGCACCACCTGTGCCAGACACATCCCCGGTTGGTCTTTCCATGGCTTTAGAGACTACGGCTGATAACTTGCATTTTCAGGTTTCAGCTGGGGCCAAACCAATAAGCCCAAGTAGACTGATAAACGTAAAACCAACCGTTAAGCAGCAACTAAGTTCTTGTCACTGAGCCGCTACGCTGCATGTAACATATCTCTATTACGGGGTGTTTTCTGGGCATGTGCAAATACACATGGGTCACAAAAAAAACGAAACACAACACTTCGTAGCAATGTCTTGCATGGCGCCTAGTGCCGATCCGCAACAATGAGCAGAACGAAGATCACCAGCACCACCCACCGATCAAACCCAGCATGATGATGTTTTTGCCTGTCCCCTACTTTCAACATCATCGCCGGAGTTGTGACCGAAACGGGGTGAACATCACACATTTCACAGCGGACCATAGTTGAATTCAAGGCGGTAGGTGGGCATCCAATACCGACCTTCCTTGCGCACTTGTGTTTCATCAAAAACCAACCACTTCACGTTTTTGGCGCCGCACGTGCAATCTTTCCAGTTGCATTCAGACTCACGTCAGACCGGACCTGGCCACCAACATTTGTTAAAACAGCGCCTTAGCCAATCATTTTTGCCAGAGTTTTTTTGTGGCAGGATCAAATCGGTTTGTTCGATATGATAAAGGTGCAAATCCACCCCGGTCGCTGGTTTGTCCTGTCGCGCCAAATTTGTGTGTTTCTGATTCGGTTGTTTCAATTACTGCGTTGTTTGTTGTGCCAGTCATGTTCCTTATTCAAGCAACGTATACAACACTGAGCAAGGGAGTTGCGCCCTCGTACGTTCCATGCCCCCGTGGTGAAGCTGAAGGTCCATGCATGACCCATGTTCCATCGGGATATTTTGGCTCTAGCTTTGTCAGATTCTTATGTTCGTCGCCATTTGTTTGCGACTGTTATCAGTGTGTTCCTCGGCGGCACGGATAGCAACAAGGCATGTGATCTTGTTGTCAAATCCGCGCGCTGCTCTCAAAGCGAGATGCATCATGAAACGACAAATAAGGTGAACAATGATCTGGTTTCGCTTCAGCTTGTTGGCAGTGAGGAACTCAGGATGTCTCACGTGCGCAAGGCGTTTTTTTTTGTGCGTGTCAGCAGGATGAGCAGTCTTTTCTTTGAATTTGGTTTCCATTGCAGATGATGTTTTTGCTGTTTGTGTGTTGCCTGAGACAATTGCTGACAAGGTCACCTTGAGGGTTTCGCAGGGCACCTAGAGGAATCAATCTGCTTGCAATGTGATGAGGAATTGGCAGCGTTGAGCAACAATGCAAACATTCATACCTGAGTCATGAATCATTCACACCGGCATGAAAACAGAAAATCTCCATTGGCGAATTCATTGCTTGATGCCACGCCCGGTTGCTCGCCGCTGCCAGCAGCCAAGCTGTGGCTTAGTTAGAGCATTGTTTTAGGGAAACACGTTCGCACCATGAACGTGACTAAGAAAAACTTCGATGAGATTGCTGACGAGATCGAACGGTTGCTGCCGTCCGCGGAATTTGTCGCCATCGACGAAGAAATGACAGGGATTTCTTTGCCTGGTTGTGAGGAGCAGGTGGCTGACCTGCCTGCAGCACGATATGGAAAAATGAGGAAAGAGGGTATGAAAAAAATTGACAGATATTGAAGGAGTGTCATAATCAAACATGTTGGTTCTTGGGAAATTGCAGGGTCCTTTGTTTTTGTTTGTGCTGAGCTATGAGTTCCCCAAGTTGGCCCATTTTGTTGAACTACAATATTGTAAATCTTAATCTTTCTACCTGGTTGAACAAATGGATTTGCAACAAATTGCGCTTACATGGAGGTTTACTTGTATGGTATTGTACAATATTGTATGTGTGCTTTCTTGGCATTTCTCCATATTTCTCCTACATTTCCCAAGGCCCAGGGCAGGGCAGTGTGGGGCTTCCCTGGAGGAAGGTGGCAACCAACTACAACATCATCCAATTTGGCGTAGCTCTTTTCACCAAGGACACGGACAAAAAGTATATCGTTCACGTGTTCAATTTCTACGCCTTTCCCGAGAAGGGTTTTGTCAACATGGAGGCTGGGTCAGTTCACTTCAACTCCCGTAACGGCATGGATTGGAACAAGTGGATTTTGGGAGGGATCCCATATGTGGACAAAGAATCCGCAGAGAAATTGAGACAATCCATTTTTCCTGCCCCGGAGACTGTACAACCGCAGCCGCAGCAGACAGGAAAGCAACGCATCGTTTTATCCAATCCGCAGGACATTGAGACGACAACGAAAGCTGTGGAGAGTTTGAAGGGTTGGTTGCTAGACGAAGGGCGGAAGGAGGAAAAGGAGCTTGAACTTTTGACCACCAATTCATATTTGCGGCGGTTTTTGTACGAACACTTGCGCGAAAGTATGCCAGATCTGGTCCTTGAGAGCAGGCCCACCAAAGCACGTGGATTGTCCACAATGGTCGCGCTTAGACTCACCAACACTGAGAAACTTGAGCGGGAAGCTAAGCTTCAGAAGGAGAAGGAAACAGAATTTCGATCGAAACTTGGATTGAGGCGAATTTTTCTGGCTCTGGCAGCAGCGAGAAAAACGCTGGTGGGCCATGCCTTGCTGTTTGACTTACTTTTTGCATTCTCACACTTTGAGGGCCTGCCTGAGAGCTACGAAGAATTCAAAGAGCTCTCACGTCAGTTTTTCCCTTCATTTTTTGACACCCAGGTCTTGGCAAAGAGCCACCTATTCAGGATGAAGCCGCAAAATGTCGACAGAGGTCAGGAAGAGCAAACCGAGCAAACAAAAACAGCCCGGTTTTCGAGTCTTGCCCTCGGCCAAGTGTACAAAGTACTCAAACAAGAGGCTGAAGAGGCTCTCAGTTGTGGCCAAGCAATTGTCAAATTCAATTTGGCCGAAGGCCATGAAAGGTACGACAACTCAGCTAGCTTCCATGAAGCTGGCTATGATGCCTTCATCACCGGCTGCGTTTTTGCATACATGTGTGATGCAGTGGGAAGACGCCCAGACGAGTTCAACGGCCATCTTATGATGTTTCGTGGCCTGTACAACTTCAACTTGCTGGGAGATGACGAGTTGCTGACCAAAGGAACATATTTGCACATCAAGGGGCTGAAAGGTCGCGGGGTGCAGGATCTTCAAGACTCGCTTCAAGTGGTTCTGAGTCTTCGCTGGAGTTTTGAGAGGTGCTGGCGGCTGACTGTTTTTTTTTTTAAACCAATTTCAATCGATTTAAAAACAACCGATTTTATGTGAACCCCCCAATAGAGTTGCAAACCGTGGCAAACCTAGTCAGATTTGAATACCATTTGAAGACATTTTGAAACTGAGGAAAGATGTTGCAAAGAAGCACCAGAACTGCGAACAGCTGCCCACCGACTATGAAATCAAATGGGTCGATGATGATAGCGCATTTGCAATCTTTTCAGAGAAAGCACGTGAACTGGTCGACATGGTGTGCGCAGAGACAGAGGCAGATGACAAGGCTTTATATTTGATCACTAGCCCTCCCCAAACATAGGGTCAACTCACCTGACAATTTGGTGTTCAGGGACTAGAGGGCACCACTTTTTTCGTTGGAACATTTGCATGCGAGCAACGTTCAAACAGCTTGCAGGTCACTGGTGCAAATGGCCTGAACTTTACGCTCGGAGAGCACTGGTTTGCTGCCAGCAATCCTGATGCAGATCTTCCACCACGGAAACGGCCTCGTCTATCTTAGTGGAAGGATATAGCAGATCACTCTCTATCGCCTTGGGGCTATTTATTGCTGCGCTGTTGTTTCCTTGCAGGAAGAAGGCACATCTTTCTGCCTTGGCCACCGAAAGAAATTGGTCTATTGTGCAAAAAAGTTTGGGTTGCACAGGCTGCACAGGCTGCACAGGCGTCAGCCATAAATATGACTGAAACTTGAGGATGTGTGGCAACCTTTTTCTTGTGCTTCTGAGGTTACAATGTGCCAACATGCCAGGGAACAGCCAATGCCGCCCTTGCTATTTTGCGCACCGCATAGGTGGTCTGAATTGCGGCTAGGCTTAGTTTCTTCAGCCTTGGATTGACGCCAATGTGTTGAAGTTGAGCCAGGTGGCAGGGCAGTGGTCAATGCCATGACCCATGATTTCGTCCGCCCCTCACAAGAAGTGCAGCTTCGACGCACCTTCTCTGCTTTGATTTCTGGTTTGCAAACAGGTCTTGCATCCTGACCAGTTTATTGGCCTGTCCATCAAGTCCAGTTACACCGAGTTTCAGGTGCGTGCAATTTGATACATTTTGCATGTTGCGTGTGCTCACGTCTCGTTGCTCGTTTCCCACAAATATCATCAAGTCTCTGGAAGTTTAGCTTCTGACCTCGTCGCCAGGCATACTTCCACAACTCAGGAAAGATGCACAACTGTCCTCGTCCGTGTCTTGAGATGGTCGGATGCCCAAGATTGAGCTGAAAAATCTGACACAAGTGACATGGGGCGGAGTGACATCAAGTGACATGTGATGACACAACAGCCCTCCGCTTACCCGCTCTTTGCTGACCATCTCAGGAGCAGGCGTGTGTTCCATGGACACCCAACTTTCCAGGTAGAAAACTCAGGAGTTGCAGCACTTTAGCCTGCAATGAATCCTGGCCAGCTAAGGAATTAATTCAGTCCATGATATTCGTTATCAGATGGCCAGAATCTTAGCGTTTATGATTCCTGAAATTGCCGAAAGCTCTCCCAGAGTGACTTGCAGGCCCAGCACCCAAACTGGTGGCCAGAGTTGTCTTCCAAATCAAGCGACAAGGACATCGTCAAGGCTCTCTATACGTCTTGACCTTGTCAGAACAAGTCCAGTGGGTCCAGCGGTGGCAGGGTGCTCTGCGATGCTCTGCGATGCTCTGCGATGCTCTGCGATGCTCTGCGCAACTGAGGCGAGGCACAAAAGGCGTTCCTCGGGTCTGCGAGGCGCCCGCTTCGTGTGTGCCGTCAGATGGCCTCACACATTCAAGTGCCACGAGGACGATGAGGCGCCAGGACATCACATCGATTATGACGAGGCCTGACCGGGGTCAACATCCACATTGTGTACTGCTACATCAATCTGCATCATGCAGTATCTGCAACCACACACACATGCTATGTGTACACACGTAAATATATACAGTATATACAGTACTATGTTTACGATATACGTAAATATATTTATAATATATTTATAAACACGTATGTATATGTAACACATGTCAGGATACAACAGTACACGCACGCACACACACACAATGTGACACAAATGACACATATTAATACATGATAAGACGAACATTGAGCACAATAAATTTGAATAAATGTACACACGCGCACACACACACACACATGTATACATACATATTATATATATACACACGTTTATTTGTTATGGACGTCTAATCTTCTTGATGCTGATGTGATGTTTTCTTGGGTATTGTTGAGCCCTTCCCAATGTGTTGCCAGCATCTTTGAAGGCAGCCTCGGAGCAGACGGAGTCAGATATCAAAGCTGTCCAGGCCCATCACTGATGGAGTTTTGCCTGTCCAAACAGGTCCATTCTTCGCATGGCCATGGCATGCCATGGCTTCCCTTTATGGCAGGAGCTGCTGGACAGGCAGAAGTCACATGGCACCGAAGTCTTGGCAACTCAGCTGAACTTGCGAAAATTTGGGAAATCTATATATATATATATTGTAATATACCTGGACAATTTCTGCTCCCAACATGCAATTACCTATGCATGGAATTGCTGAGGATGGTTCGAATGAAGGTGGAGCTGGCGATGCCATGGGCTCAGTGAGACTGATTATCAGGATCAGTCAGAATTGTTTGAACATGTCTGAATGCAACCCACTTAGTCTTGTCACCTCTTGTGTGACTGCCGGCTAGGATGGGTGGGCCGCTGACGGCGATAGCAGTGCAGAGGACCAATACCGCGGCTTTGATTCAAGGGGATTTCAAGGATCTTCGATGATGAGTGCCTGAAGTGCCTGAGCTGTGCTCTTGCTTATTCCAGGATGGTGCCTGGTCGGACCGGTCAGAGGATGAGGCTTTCAGCTTCGAACCCTGACCCAAGCACAAACTGTCACTTTGCCATACATTTTGAACCTGCCACTACATTTTTTTCATCCCAGAGCTTTGTTGCTTTGTTTGTTGAAACTCTTTGGACTCTTTGGCCTCTATGTCTAGATGCAATTTTTTTGCAGCTTTCTTTGTTCCCGATGTGGCCGATGGATGCCTTGAATGGGACTGGTTCGGGTCCCAAAAAAACGATGTTGCCGGGTGTTGCCAGATGCTGCCAGGCTTCACCAGCAGAGGAGAAGGCCTCCGCGCGGCTAAAGGGGACACATCAAATGACGGCTGCACTAAAAGGGAGAATTCTCCGGAATCCAGAAAGGATGACAAAGGCAAAGATGTAGCCCACCGTAAGGTGAAAGAAAGGGTGAAGCTGTTGCATGAACTGAGAGTCTCTGACTGTTCGTGTTTGTGTTTTACAACTTTGAATCAGCAACTGGATCAATTACATACTGTGCATGTGTCTCGGGTGATCGCTGCAACCACCGGTGATGGGGAAACCTGACCAAAGATACACTTAATCACGGTACCGTTGTGCTCAATCGTTGAAGATTCGCCCAGTCTGCAGGAAGTATCTTCTGGAGAGGGGCCAGAGGAATCAAAGGCAGCAGCTTCAGCTTCAGAGACGCGACAATGACTTTGTAGCTGAGATGTGACAAACGTAAACATGCACAGTTAATGCCGTAATGCCTTAATGCCCCACAAAGATGAAGTGTCACATAGGACTACATAGGTGTTTTTGATGGGTGTGTCTGAAAATGGATTATATCCGCAAAGGGCTTTAATGTATAGATAGATAGATGGATGGATGGATGGATGGATAGATAGATAGATAGATACTAGTAGATAGGTAGATAGATAGATAAATAGATAGATAGATAGGTAGATAGATAGATAGATAGGTAGGTAGGTAGGTAGATAGATAGATAGATAGATATAGGCAGACAACCAACAAACTAGTTCCCAGCAGATATAGTGGTTTGACTGCAGCTGTTCTGCAGTGGGCTGCTTTAGACGGTCGACTCTGGTGCTCCCCATGTGGGAAGAACCCGCTGCGGAGAATTTTGGAGACTGAAGAAGAGCCCAAAGAATCAAAAAAGGTGAGTTTTTCTATGCTGGCACTGTCCCGGTATCCAGCAGTAGCTTTGCTGGCTTGGTGTTTGCTTTGCTTGGAATCTGAAGGAGGCCTCCGAAGAAGAAACACCTGTGGAAACCAAGGTTGGACCTTCATTGTTTGTGACAAGGTTGAAGTTTACCATGGTTGGCCCAGTCTCACGGCACAGCAAGTTGGGCACAAGGTTGTTCGATGGCATCCGCCTTTTTTCTGCAGGAGACATCAGCAGAGGAAAGCGCTGAGGATGCTGAAGAAGCCAAGGTACCGGCTGCGCCATGTTAGTACGGCTGGGGCGGGTAGGACAGGAGAGGACCTATGGTCAGACCCTTTACAGTGTTTCTGCTTTGCTTTGCTCACAATTCGCGGAAATGAAGGCCAGGCCCAGGTGTCTTCGTGACAGGATTGAAGTTCACTGTCCCGCAGGGGTATGCCTGAGATTCACCAACCAAGGAAGTTTGCGAGTGGATTTGCTTCAGACAGTGCGCTATTCTGATCCTTTCTGTACAGGAAGCATCCAGCGAACAGAAACCCAAAGAGACAGAGGTGAGGGAAACGGCCAGTTGTGTTTGCTGTTGAGTTGCTGTCAAGAGCCAGGAATTTCGTGAGGGTCGGTCAAGTCAAATCACTGCAGCTTAGCCGGAACAGGTCCCTCCACTTCATATGCTTCTGAATTTAATAAACATATAGTACGTCGTACGTATATGAGAGGCCGCAAGATCCACAAGCATAAAGGCACAACACCAAGATTGCACTGCTTTGAATCATGATAATGGATCATCAAGGCATGTAATATGCAAGTGCTGAATTATCTGAATTGCTACGCCAGGACGGCGAATCATTTGAGGATGGTGCTGGCGACCAGGGGTTGCAGTGGCCTAGCCACCAAGAACACCATGTTTACAGCGAAAGCAGTGAAAGCAGTGAAAGCCAGAGCTCCTCAGAAAGCCACGGCTTCGATGGGAGCGATGACTTCGATGGGAGCGATGCCGAAAATTTGGACGGAGATGATGCACAGGATTACGGCAGCGAGGAAGCGTCGGAAATGCCGTGCTTTCAGAGAGGCCGCAGCTTTTCCATGTCAAGGCCTCAGAGAATTCGAGACACTTATGAATCTGATGAGCATTCCAAGCTTAGAACAGCTTGGGCACATGTTTGGACAGAACGCAGCTGCAGCGAGGTTAGACGTGCCGGAGCATGTTCCCCTGACCGTCCCAGATCGCGATGCTTGTCAGGCTCGGAATTCTTTGCTTACTTACAGACCGCTACCGTTGTCACATAGCAGCCATAGCAAGCATTTCGGAGCCTGCGGACCAGGCCCAGTGTTCGCAGTCCAGTGCTGCGCACTTCCTGTTCTATGTGTCGCTGGCTTTCTTCGATGGGTGGAAACTATGCGGTAACATGACCACACGATTGCAGTCATAGCAATCCGTCTACACGCCACAATGTGTGGTCCTCGAGTCCTCTGACCGCACCTATGATCTCCACGTGACAGGAGCCGACTAAGTTATGTCACTGCCCTCCCGAGGGAGCTGTTCCTATGGAGGCACCTTGCTTTCCCCGGGGAGCTTCAAAGCCATTCCTTCAACTTTAATGCATTCTGAAATTATACATGTCTATTATGCAACGAAAGAATCTAACAGCAAGCCCTGGTCCAACACTCTTCTGCAGTGAGCTTCCACTATTGTGAGTGCACTATACGCATGTCATCGCATGTCTAGGTGGGCTCGGAGTTCGTCAGTGGGGATGTGAATTGCTTCGACGGTGTTGTGGGTAAGTGGTGATCTCAAGTGCCAGTGTGATTGCTTCTGATATCTTCTAATTCTCGTTGCACTCTGTCCAAACTCAGATGACATGAACATCTGAGAACTGCAACCTACGTATGCTCCAATTCTGGTCCTGTTAGCAAAGGTCGGATGCAAAAGTGCCACGGCTCAACAGCATTGGCTTGAATGCCATGACCCGAGCGATGATGTAATATACTGCGTATATCTGCGCATTGTGACAATTGACATCAAGTGACTAAGTATCTAAGTGGCACCTTGTCTTTCTGGAATGTTGTGGCCTGTCACACAAGGTCACTCCTGGGCTAATGGCCAGAATCTTGTCCAGCTGATTGTCAATCGACACTTGCAATCGATCACCTGCTGACTTGTCACCTCAGTGGTGCTGCCAGATTCACACGGGTACACATTGTACATTTCCAGTGCGCAGCAAGGCCTTGATCGGCTGCAGCATGCTTGCAGCAGTCGGGCTGCCCAACCCTAGGTACAGAGATAGCCGTCAGCGAACATGTGCATACATTATGTCATTATGCATACATTTGCTGGAGTTCTCGGGTTGTGCGCACCTTCCTCGAGAGGCTGACCCTGCCAGGAGGGTAACACACAAACACCCTGCCTGCCTGTTGCCTTGGTGCGCTCATGATTCTCTCCTTTTGGGTGCCACCAAAAAGCGAGCTGCAAAATTCAATTGGCTTGGCTTGATTAAAAGGTAACAGTTCCTATTAACAGAAATGAAGTACAAGACCCAAGGTGCTCAGCTTTGGCATGCTCTTGCCATATTTGGTTTCTTCAGGAGACCTGTTTTTCACCACCCACGATGGCGTCGTGACAGTAGTAATTGATACCGGGTCTAGACCATACTGTAGTAAAAGCTGCCAGAAGATTTTGTTTCCTGTTTTTTTTTTAATATAAAAAAATGTATATAATACATATATACACCGCTCATTGATGTACAGTGGCTCTTCAGTAGCAGTTGCCTTTGCCGCTGTGGTGGCCCTACACGAGGTCGTTCCTGCATCCGGCTTCATCCGAAAGGTCACCAGAGCACGAAGGCTCAGGCTCGCAGCATGGGAAACACATATACCAACCATACCAGGCCATACCAGACCATACCAGGCCAGGACATACCAGGCCAGGCCAGTACATTACATTATATTACATTATATTACACACATACATACAGATACATACAGATAGATACATACAGATACAGATAAATACATACAGATACATACAGATACATACAGATACATACAGATACATACACAGATACATACAGAGCTACATACAGAGATACATACAGAGATACATACAGAGATACATCCATCCATCCATCCCTACATCCCTACATACAAACATACATCCATCCATGCATGCGTGCATGCATCCATCCATCCATCCATACATAGATACATAGATACATAGATACATAGATACATAGATACATAGATACATAGATACATAGATACATACATCCATGCATGCATGCATGCACATACATACATACATGCATGCATGCATGCATGCATACATACATACATATACATATACATATACATATACATATACATACATATACATACATATACATACATATACATACATATACTGTGTTTTGGATTTCCGTGTCGTCGTGTTTTGGTGACGGGCGCAGGGCCCACCCGAAAACGCGAAAACGCGAAAATTCAAAAAGACGCGTTGCCGCTGGATGCACCCGAAAACGCGAAAATTCGAAAATCCGAAAAGTACCAAAAGTAAGCGAAAACCCGAAAACGCGAAAATCTGAAAAGTGCCTAAAAAAAACGAAAAGCCGAAAACGCAAAAATCCGAAAAGTACCAAAAATAAGCGAAAACCCGAAAACGCGAAAATCTGAAAATCCGAAAAGTACCAAAAATATGAGAAAAACCGAAAACGCGAAAATTTGAAAATCTGAAAAGTGCGAAAACTGAGGAAAAAACTCGAAAGCGATCCCTACAGCCTTAAGCCTTGTTTCACCCCGGGGGACGTCAAAAAGGTAACTTACAATAACAGAAACCCAGTTGACCCCCCAACATGAAGGGTCTGGGGGGGATCTTGAAAATGTAAAATCTCAATTTGCCCTACCCAGATGAGAATTTAACATTTTCAAGTCACCCCCCCCGCAAGGCTATGTTTCCAGGTTAAATAAAGATTGCGATAGATTAAGTAAATTTCAACGGGGTGGCGGCAAGGTGGAAAATGTAAGATTTTAGTTTGGGAACCCACGTAGCAATTTTACATTTTTCACCCACCCCCTTCCATCTACACAAATGAACCCCAGAGCACAGCCGCTGCTGTTTTGGTTTCGGATGGTTTTGGCGTAAACCTTCTAAACCTTCTAATTTAGTTAGTTAATGTTAGTTATATCATGTTATATCAACAAATTCAGCAAATAAAACCTTACAATTGTATCTTACATTTTTTTTGGTTTTGATAGCTGATAGCATTTAAAACCTCACAATTGTAAGTTACATTTTTGAGGTTTTATTTGTTGATTTGATTGATTTAATTTAGTTTATATCAATAGTACAAACCTGAAAATGTAATATTACATCTTTAGGTGTTGTATTCCTGATTTGAATATGATAACTAAAATATGATGATTTTTGGAACATTAGTGTTTTGTGGGACGTCTGGCTTCCCGAAATGTAAGTTACATTTTTGAGGTCCCGGGGGGTCCAAGGGCCTCGGAATCGAAAGCGCGAAAATCTGAAAATCCGAAAAGTGCGAAAAATGAGAAAAACACGAAAACACGAAAATCTGAAAATCCGAAAAGTGCGAAAAATGAGAAAAAACCCGAAAACACGAAAATCTGAAAATCCGAAAAGTGCGAAACATGAGAAAAACCCGAAAACACGAACATCTGAAAATCCGAAAAGTGCGAAAAATGAGAAAAAACCCGAAAACACGAAAATCTGAAAATCCGAAAAGTGCGAAAAATGAGAAAAACCCGAAAATCTGAAAATCCGAAAAGTGCGAAAAATGAGAAAAACCCGAAAACGCGAAAATCCGAAAAGTGCGAAAAATGAGAAAAACCCGAAAATGCGAAAATCTGAAAATCCGAAAAATGAGGAAAAACACGAAAGCGCGAAAATCTGAAAATCCGAAAAATGAGGAAAAACACGAAAGCGCGAAAATTTGACAATCCGAAAAGTGTGGGAATGAGAAAAAAAACGAAAACGCGAAAATTTGAAAAGACCGAAAATACGGAAAAAGTGCAAAAAGGAGCCGAAAACTTGATAAGTCGATCTTGGGGAAAAAAACGAGAAAATGTGATAGTCAAAAAAGGCAAAGATGGGGACAAAGCAGAAACGCATAGTGTATCTATTTGTTGCGCTTCCGCCACGGTCCAATCATGTCCAATCAGTCGTAGCATACAATGGCGGAGCCCAATGCCCTTAGATCGCGAAACAAAAGAGGCAAAGATGAGGCAAAGCCTGCTGGAATGTTCCAGGAGAGGGCTAAGAGCGTGGCATCAAAAGTGTGCTGGAGTTGAGAGCGTCGCGCCAAGAGCCCTTTCAAAATTCCAAGAGTGTGGGGTCAAGAGCGAGAATGGTAGGCGCGGAGCATCAAGATGGTTTTCGAATTCCATGAGCAAGTCAGGAAGCTAGCATCAAGAGAAGAGAGAATTGAGAGCGTAGCATCAAGAGCTTGCCGGAATGTTCACAGAGAAAGCTAAGAGCACAGCATCAAGAGCGTGTTGGAGTTAAGAGCGTAACATCAAGAGCGTGCTGACAAGCCACGAGCGTAGCATCAAGAGCGTGTTGGAATGATCCAGGCGAAAGCCAAGAGCGTAGCATGAAGAGCGGGTCGGAGCTGCCAAAATAGTATCCTGAGAGTGCTGAGATCAAGAGCCTGGCATACAGAGGAGACAGTTGAAAGTGTAGCATCTATAGTGTGCGTGGCAATACGAACGTGCGCGGAATTTTTTCAACAGAAAGCAAAGAGGGTACCGTGCAAAGCCTGCTGGCATGTTCCAGGAGAATGTTCCGAGCGTGGCAAACAGATCGTGCTGGAATGTGCCAAGAGGAAGCCAAGAGGGTAGCATCAAGAGCATACTGGAATGTTCCAGGAGAGGGCTAAGAGCGCGGCATCTCTCTTGTTGGAAGTTCCAAGAGAAAGTTAAGAGCGTAGCATCAAGAGCGTGCCGGACTGCTTCAGGCAAAGAAAAGAGGGTAGCATCAAAAACGCTTTAAAATGTCAAGGGCAAGTCCAGAGGCTAGCATCAAGAGAATGAATGTTTCAAAGAAGGCTAAGAGTGTAGCATCAAGAGCGCGTTGGAGTTAAGAACTTAGCTTTAAGAGCTTTTCGGAAAGCCAAGAAGAAAGCAAAGAGAGTAGCACCAAGAGCGTGTTGGAATGTTTCGAGAAAAGTTGGGGGCATGGAAACAAGAGCATGTTGGACTTAAGAGCCTAGCAACAAGAGCGTGTTGGAAAGTCCAAGAGGAAGTTCAGAGCATAGCATCAAGACCCTGGTGGAGCGTATCGTCAAGAAGGTGTTGGACCGTTTCAAGAGTCCAAGAGAAAGTCCAGAGCAAAGCATCAAGAGCAGGCCGGAATGTTCCAAGAGAAAGCTAAGAGCATAGCAGCAAGAGTGTGTTGGAGGTATAAGAGCGTAGCATCAAGAGCGTTTTCGCAATTCCAAGGCCAAGCCAAAAGGCTAGCATCAAGAGTGCGAATGTTTCAAGAGAAAGTTAACAGCTCAGCAATGCTCAGCATCAAAAGCGCATTGGGATTAATAGCGTGGCCTCTACGGCGTGTTGGAAAGCCCAAGAGTCAGTTAAGAGAGTAGCACCAAGAACGTGTTGGAAGTTCAAAGAGAAAACGAAGTTCGTAGCGCGAACAGCATGCTGGTTTGTACAAAGAAGCAGCTAAGAACATAGGACCAAGAGTGTTGAAGCTCCAAGAGAAAGAAAGCCAAGAGGCAAGCAGCAAGAGCGTGCTGGAATCTTCCAGGAGAAGGTCAAGAGCGTGGCAATAAGAAGGTTAAGAGTTTAGCATCAAGAGCTTGCTGGACTGCTTCAGGAGCAAGAAAAGAATGTAGCACCAGAAGTGTGTTGGAGCTAAGAGCGTAGCATCAAAAGCGCTTTTAAAATTCCAAGGGCAATCCATAAGGCTAGCATCAAGGGCATGTATGCGTCAAGAGACAGTTGGGGGCGTGGAATCAAGAGCATGTTGGAGCCAAGTGCCTAGCATCAAGAGCGTGTTGGAAAGCCCAAGGGGAAGTTGAGAGCGTAGTGCCAAGAGCGTCGTGGAGTAGCATCAAGAGCTTGCTGGAGTGTTCCAGAAGGTTAAGAGCGCGGCATCAAGAGAGTGTTGGAAGTTCCAAGAGAAAGTTAAGAGGGTAGCATCAAGAGCTTCCCAGACTGCTTCAGGAAAAAGAAAAGAGCGTAGCATCAGAAGTGTGCTGGAGTCAAGGACGAAATATCAAAAGCGCTTTCAAAACTCCAAGGGCAAGTCAGGGGGCTAGCATCAAGGGCATGAATGCGTAGATCAGGAGCGCCTTGGAGATAAGAGCGTAGCATCAAGAGCATTTTGGCAAGCCAAAGAGAAAGCTAAGAGAGCAAGAACAAGAGCGTGTTGGAATTTTTCAAGAGAAATTTAGGTGCCTGGCTTCAGGAGTATGTTGGAATTAAGAGCCTAGCATCAAGAACGTGTTGGAAAGTCCAAGAGGAAGTTGAGACCGTAGCATCAA